CTTGTCACAGATTCCCTTGAACCACTTGATTCTGCATGCATAAAAGCATTGTAATTTCTGTGTATGTCTATGGATACCTGCAGCCGTGTGCATGAGAATGCACAGAAAAACACATAGGAATTGTATCAGAAGAAACGGTGCTGTCTTCATAAGCAGCGTACCGATTATTGATCATACAAGGTAGCTTCTCAAATAGGTAGAACTTGATGAAGGAGTGGGAGTTTCTACACACAGCAACATGCATAGAAATGCTTTTTGTTTGTTTATTATACTTCATGGGTCTCTTTACATCTTATATAGGCAAAACTTACTTTAACATATTGTCTGTATCTCAAAGCTAAGATGAAAGGAGAAGAAAAAAGTTTTGCTGGATAAAAACAAAACTCAGTATTTCCTTTTTGCCTAAATTATACCACCTTTTTTTTATTTCTACATGTGTTTTCTTCAGAATTGTTTTCAAAGGAAATAAAAAAATCTTAAGATATTTTTAACACTGGAGTTATTTTTGAAGACAGAGTCCACAGCTATGCTTGCATGCTTTTTGTAATTTTTTATATTTCTACATGTAAATCATATACATAATTTATTCTAGTATTTCTGCACAAAATGATGTGCTTGTATCTTTGGGACTGGTGGGGAAAATACGTACAGAAAAGACTAGTGATACTAGTGGATCTCTCCCCTATGAATGTTCATCACCTGTGCTAAAACTGTGATTAATGATTGCCTCACAAATTACAGATGAAACTTTGGAGTACTACTATGGTTCTACCTCCATTACAGCATGATTCCTCCCTCCCCACGCCCCCCCACCCCAAAATCTCTTGTGGATAAGAGCATTTGCGAGGATTAAAAAATAATTCTGGTCTGAAGTGTTTTCATATATAAAACAATCCAAGCCATTCCTAAGAATGCACAGAGATGCAATAGTCATAATGTCAGAAAGGGATTAACTCTGTAGAAAGATTAGGTTAATAAAGGAGTAATTAGGATTAGGAGCCAATCCTGCAATAGGATTCATACATATCAATTCTTATATTTTTTCTGTTATATATTGCTTAACAGCAATTCCAAATATAACAGCTCTGTCAATACTTCTGGTGGAATTTTACTGTCCTCCCATTTCCAGGTCCCACCTGAATATCTGCGACATGTTAAGCCTCAGGTTTTTACTCTTCTAGGATGGATTTGTGCAACTTGCGTGGAAACAGATTGTTCAAAACAGACCACTATTAATTCAAGCTTCAGCAGTACCACACACAAAGATGAGGCGTAAAACTAAGAAGAATAAATGAAAGCTGTATATGTCTCTGTCATTATCTGTTTAGCTCAGACACTCATGTTCCTACCAACTGCGAAACAACACTGTCATGGTTTAACCCCAGCTGGCGATTAAGCAGCACACAGCCACTCATTCACTGCCACCACAAGAGGAGGGAGGAGAGAATTAGAAGAGAAGTAGGAAAAACTTGTGGGTTAGGATAAAGACAGTTTAATAGGTAAAGCAAAACAAGGAATTAATTCATCACTTGCCATAGGCAGGCAGATGTTCAGCCATCTCCTGGAAAGCAGGGCTCCATCACCTGTAACGGTTACTTGGGAAGACAATCACCATCACTCCAAATGTACCCCGCTCTTTCTTCTTTCCCCAGCTTTATCCGCTGAGCATGACATGTTATGGAATATCCCTTTGGTCAGTTGGGGGTCAGCTGTCCCAGCTGTGTCCCCTGCCCACTTGTGCACCCCCAGCCTACTCGCTGGTGGGGTGCTGTGAGGAAGGAGCAGAAAAGGCCTTGACTCTATGTAAGCACTGCTCAGCAGTAACAAAACATCCCTGTGTTATCAACACTGTTTTCAGCACAAATCCAAACCAGGGCCTCATACTAGCTACTGTGAAGAAAATTAACTCCCAGCCAAAACCAGCACAAGCGTACACAGCTTTTGGTCTCCTGTGTTTGAGTTTGCTGTTTGTTTTTTCATTAAAATGATGAGCAGCATTTCTTCGCTTGTTCCTCTTTCAGAGCGCAACCATTTCTTAAATAGCTGTAAGATTTCAGGTTTCTTTTGCTCATAAGGTTGGTCCTTGCTAGAGCGCCTCATTCTGAGCTGGAAGGAGTTGTTCATTCTTATCCTTATTTCTTGGAAACTTTATGTCCAAAAATGACTAAGTTTATGGTTTTGTTTATGCCTCAGAATGCTAAGGCATCTCATTTTATTGCAGCAATACCAAATAGAATGGGGGAAAAAAGAGCCACATATGAAACACAGAGAAGATGGTACTCTCCCATTTAGTCATGAATGTCAGTCTAAGCTTCTGTCTAACACTGAATATCCCATAATACATTTCCATCTGGACCTTTATTTGTCATAATTACTTTGTTCATTCTTTCTCAGAGACCTGCCTGTGCTAGTTCAGAAGCCTGGGATGCAGTGGACAAGCTGTGTGCATCACCACAGCAGCATTGACCACATTGACCAACGTCCACAACGCCTCTGTTGGAGTGAATAATCAACGGAAGTGTGCTCCTGTTCCGGATGTAAAGAGACGTCACTGTGCCTGACGGAGGTGAGAAAGCCTTGAAACCGTCACGGTTCCAAATGGACTGTCTTGTCCTGTGAATTGATCCTGGGCTCCCATTCCCTAGAGGTGTCCTATGGAAAAGAGCAAATTGAAGAGGCATTTAGAGTAACGGGTAAAACCTGTCTTAGAGGATAATGCAAGGAAAAAGTCCTTTGGTATTTTTCTTCATCTGAGGGACTTACAGAGATTTAAGGGAGAAAATGTAGTCCTACTCATCCTATGCCCCCTTCAAACACATTATTCGTTTTCATGAGTCGTGTGCAGGGGTAGTCAAGGCAAGAAGAGGATTTAACTCTTCATCTCTGATATTAATTTGCAGTTAGGGCTATATTTTTGGTCAAGGGCAGCATGTCTGTTAGAAAAGTATGCAGTCAAAAAAATTATATCTTTTGGTGAAGGTTTCTGCTCCCAGGATGGTTTTCTGAAATATGTCTGTGGGAACATTTTTGTCTGTTGTAAGAATTTTCCTTTTATTGTTGACTGATGTTTGTGAATTTGGTGTGTGATTTTTACCACCCCTGCCTCCCCACCTCATTTTAAAACTATTTAAATCATATAGTATTTTCTCAAGGACAAGAAAGACCCCTACTACATTTTTCTAATGTTCATGCTAACTTACAGTACTAATAATACGTTTGGCAAAAATTACTATTTTTTTCAGTTCTTCAGTTTTTACAGTTGCAATTTTAGTGTTTTATATGGTTTCAGTTTCCTTACTGGCAGTGCTTCTGAGGCTGTAGATGACCCTGTACAAAAATGATTGATCTTCGCTTAGTTTAGAAATGAATTCTCAGTATCACATCTAATTAGTGAAGGTACATCCAGCATAGAACTCGAAACTTCTTTGTGTGTGGAGTAAATCTCAGTACATTGAGGAAAATGAGGTCACTTTCTTGAGATTCAAGTGATGATAGTAGAAGTGGCTTTTCTTTCAGAAAATAATTAGGTGGCCAGTGTGAATCAGAAGTAAGCAATAATTAATGTCAGCACAATCTATTGGGATTTTTTTTGTATCATTGTCATGAAAGATTTAGATAGTATCACCCATGAATGGTGATACAGCCAGTTTACTCAAGTTGTTATAATATGAGGCAGCACCTATGCAGCTTGCCTCATTAAAAAAAATCAGCATATGTTTAAATATCTGTGAGGTTGCTGACTCAGGTATCTGTTTTCTCTTTTTTTTTTTGCATTTTTTGTCCCCTTTGCTTTTCTACTTCAAGATGTATGTTTTTTACACAAAGAGCTACACAGTATCATTCTGTGAATTCCCCATACGTTTTTTTTTTTTTAGCTTGCACTTTCTCACAGGAGCTATGAGATCTTAGGAGACAATATTTGCGTTATACCTTGGTAAAGTAGTAGGCAAGGAGACTAGTCAGAACTGGAATAAAGAAATATCTTTTGCGGTAGCTGCTGTATTTCCAGTGCATAAACCTCAAGAGCATTTGGGCCAATAAATCTGTGGTCCAAGTAGAAAGTCACATGGAAAACATTACAGTGACTTTCCTGACATTAAAGAAAATAACCCAAAACTTCTATTTCAAAAAACTACATCTGCAGCATACCATTTTTTTTCAGGCTTTTCAAAATATGAAAGATTTCAGTTGGTTAGCAAGCAGATTCTGATATATGCTGTGCTCTTTTTAATAGCCTTTTTCATTGTACATTTTATGTGTCATATTTATATTCTACAACTGTATTTCAGAGGCATTGTGTGGATTAATATTTAGATTGAGATTAAGCTGTTTTGAGTAATTGCCATGAACAGATTTCTCCTTAGCTATCAAAGACCCACACTTAGTTTTCATTAAGTGCAGACCTGCCTTTCACATCAGTGTGGGAAATTAGCCAGGAGAAAAGACATTTCAGTGGCGTCTGGTCCAGCTCAAGATGTGTGGTGATACTGCTGATACCCATATATTTAGGAGGCTCTTATTCTGCATTGAAGAATCATGCACTTCTCTTGGCCTCTCTTCCTTCATTCTGATGTCAGGATGGTATAAATTAAATTGTTAAATACAACCCACAAAAAAAAAAAAAAAAGGTTGTAGGCCAATTTTGCTCCTATGAGCTGTGCTTATTGTGTTTGGGTGTGTGTGGAACAAATTTTCTCTTGTTCTCAAAACAGTTAGCATGTGGGAAGAAAACACTGAGTAGATTTATGGTTTTGAAGAAGTAATTGTTTACTTATCCAACTCATCAAATCCTACAAAGAAATTAAATTGCCTGATAATGTGAAAGCCATTATTTATTAGGTAGTTTGTGAATATTTATGTGGAAAAAAACTCAGAGTTTTACTCATGGGATGCATGCAAAAGATTAGAAGATTTTTTCCTATTTTTTTTCTTCACAGGAATACTCTTCTTGATTCCTGCACCCCATATTCAAATCTGCTGCTGAGATCAACAAAAAAAAAATGATAAAATTTTTTCTTATGGTAAACAAACAGGGTCAGACAAGGCTCTCTAGGTATTATGAACATGTAGAAATTAATAAACGGACAATGCTGGAAGCTGAAGTAATCAAAAACTGTCTCTCACGTTCAAAGGATCAGGTAAGTTTTGTAGGTTTTTTTTCCCTAGCCATTTTATTTTATCAACATCTCATATCTTCCATGTTGATAATTCTGAAAAGACATCAGTTTCCATTGCAGGTCATTCTTTCATTTGTACCCATGAAGAAAAACATTGTGTTTCTAGAGTATGTGTTTACTCAGACGAACTGTTCGTTCTTCATGGAATAAATATGTTTTTCTGAGGCTTACAGAGATTTTGGACCTTTCTATATCACTGTCATGGCAATTCCTCCTGTTTGTTTGAAGAAACTAAGTTGTCCAGGAAGAATTTATTTTATCATGTTAATTGCTTGTCTCGTAGAGATCCCCAGAGAGATATTACTCCTGCTTCGTCAGAAGGTAGTAGGGATAGTATTGACAGCTCCAAGTTTAAACAAAAAACTTAGGAGAACGATTCCAAATCATGAAACTGCTATTTAAAACACAGAGGTTTTTGGAAACACAGATTTTTAGGCCTTTGTATTTGGCTTTTTTTAAAAGTGTTTGCGCTTTCTGCAAGAAAGTCAGAAAACTCGGAAGTTGGAAAATTTCTTAGATGAAAGTTGAGATTTTCATTGCTCGTTTAATTGAGCCATTGGTTCTTTAAGTACCAAACTTAGCAAAACTTTGAATACATTGACTTGCATTCGAGGAGAAATCTGTGGCTTGGGCTGAGTGGGGGTGTTTTGGTTTGTGTTCTGAAGTCAGCTGCTTTATTTTTCATTAATTACCTGTGTCTTTGAACAGTGGTCCTCACGTATTCTAGAAAACCTCAGAAAAAATCCTTCCTATAAAGCACCTTAGTTCACAGAATTGACAGTGACTAAAGGAATTAACCTTCTCCATACTGTCTGCAAGAGCCTCTCCAAATGGCAGCTACACCAAGAGAGCTAATCAGGGTATGCTGCCATTTCAAGGACAGCAAAATCATACTCACAGGAGGGCAGGAGGCACCTGGCAAAGCAGCAGGTGACAGCTCCATCTGCTGGCATCCCTTTCGCTGGGAGACATGTGAATATCCCGCCCCACTTCCCGGCACAGACACAGACACACACACACGCAGAAAGTGCCCCTTGATTTGTATATAAAAATACCGATCATTTTTTAAATATTAAAATTACCTGGAGGATGTCTCTTTTGGAAGAGCTTACAAATGAAAATTATGGGGAAGTACTGACTGCCTTATAATGCCAAACAAGTCACTTCAGTTCTGTATGTTCTGTTTTTTCCATTTAAAGAGTGGTGCTGTGGTTTTGCCAGTAAATTGAAAGTTTTGTGTAACAGTTACCGTACTAAACTGCTTTCAAGCCAAAATTGTTTGGTGGATCTTGGGAAATCCATTGTTCTTTGTGGGCCTTATGAACATGACACCTTAGGCTCTTCGAACACTCTGTGCTTAATACTGTCGTATGCTTAAATGGCAACTACTGTGTTTTGCTTCTGCCTAGTGCTCCTTCATCGAGTATAAGGACTTCAAGCTGGTATACCGACAGTATGCAGCCCTGTTCATAGTCGTTGGAATCAACGAGGCAGAGGTAAGAAATTCTATATGCTTGAAATGAGAGCTTGTAGTAGTCATTGGCAAGGACTCAAGTCTTCTGTCAGCATGGAATTTTGCATTAGCAATTAGAGAATTTCAAGGAGTCATTGAAAAAAAGACATTTTTATTTCTGTGAAATAAAAAGAGATCTAAAAGAAAATTTATGTTTGACTGCATTCTATAGCAGACTGAACTGTTATCATGAGGCAATCTTCATGAGCCTTATACTGATTCTGCTTTGCAAATTTATATTTGATTAAAAAAACTTTTGTACATGGGGTTTCTCAACAAATGTTAGCATTACAGTCAGATCAGCTGTGTCATCTGTGGTGACTTCTCAACTGCTCACTGTTCTTAACCTCCTCAGCCAAAGAAAAACTTTCCATACTGTCAGCTAGAAAGTTGCCAATTTATTGTATTTAAAAAAAAGTTATCTGGAAATTGACAGGTGCAGTTGTTTCATCTCTTCAGATCGAGCCTGCAGGGCTTCCACGTTTACATTGATTCCCAGTTCTTAGAAATTAATTCAAAGCTTACTATTGGAGACTTCAGATTTTAATGGGGTGGTGTGGAAGGTGACTGCCACCTTGGCTTCAAGTCAGGGTTATAATGGCATGCAATTTTGGGCAAATACTTTTGGCTTCGCTACACCATACACAAATCACTCATCTGTACTGCTGCAGCTTCAGCATGGGTAGGCATAGTCCAGTTAGCTATATCTGTTTAGCTAAACTGGGTGATGGTAGAAGAAAGGATGCAGTGGGATGGCAGCAGTCCAGGCAAGACAAATCCATTGGGTACTGCAGTGCTTACTGGTGTGGCTGGCCTGAAGCTTCTGCTCCTGAGCACCCTGCTCTTGCTTGCTCCGCTAGGTAACCACACCTCTTCTCGCTATGGTGGCCTCAGCTTGTGCACTTTATTGTAGGTCTGATTATATTTTCTAGTTGCTTTTCATACACCACAAACTGAAATAACACAAAGAATACTATTACATATTCTAGCTATTCATTTAATATTCACTTGTTTTTAATTTAATTTCAGAATGAGATGGCAGTATATGAACTAATTCATAACTTTGTGGAAGTTTTGGACAAATACTTCAGCAGAGTGGTGAGTGAGACATTGAATCTATTATGAAATATTTATTCTCTTTCAAAACTTTAGTGAATATGTAATTTCAGGGAATAAATCAAAGGAGGAATTTTTTTTTCATACTCATTTAGAATTTTACATATCTTAGCATTAATATTACCAGTGTAAAAAAAAAAAAAAGAAAGAAGAGAAAGAAAAAAAACAGTTGATTTTACAGAGGAGTAAAAGTATATAGTGTATGTGCATTATAAATCATCAGACAAGGAATACCAGAAATATTTCTGTTAGAAAAGCATGTTTTTATATGCTTATACTCAGGGGTTTCTTTGGGTCATCTACTTTTAAAATAGCCACTGGCATTTTATACATTTTAAAGAAATAAAGAGCTGCTTCATTAGTTCTTTTTTGGAGTTCTTAGCATTACATTCCCCCAGATGTGCTTCATTCATGATAAACATGGTGTTAGCATCAAGCAAGGAGCTGACATCACTCTCAGTGAACAAGTTCAGAGGGATGGAGTGCAAATGAAACCTCAAAAACCAGTCTGTACTTGCGCTCCACATATTGTTGTCATGCAACAGTGAATATCTGATAAAACGGTTATGCATTTCATTAAGGATTCAACATCAGACATGTCTTCAGTTAAAATGACACTGCTCCTTTTGGTGGAAGATAGAATCACAGAATCACAGTATGGTT